AGTAGATAATAAAAACTTGGGACATGTTAATGCTGACAACTGGTAATGGCTGCTCAAGGAAACAAGATGGTGGTGATCAAAGGCTTTGTCTGGCAGTGAGCCAAATCTTTGTGCCAACAACAGAGGATGTTCCAGTCACTAATTATTGACTGAATTGTTTGTAACAGATTTGATGTGACAAATATTTTTCATCCATTAGAATATTTTCAAAATGCATCTTAACAAATTTATAATGGTTTTAATAGTGACGGCCCCCTGATGTGAAAGGCGTCATATCAAAGGCAAGGATTTATTATTATAAAACCAAGTTCATGGGTTTTAAATAAGCAGCATTTTAGAGATGGAGAGAGAGGATTATATAATTTTTTCCTTTTTAAAAAAAATCTCTAAATTGGGAAATGACCCTGTCTAAATGAAGTTGAATTGTTTCTTTCTTGTATTTATTGACATTTGCTAATTTGACTGAAAAAATATCATAGAATCATAAAAATGTATGGCACAGCCTTTTGGTGCTAGCTCCTCTAATGGGCCTACCTAATTCTAGTAGTGGAGTCCTGTAGCTCAGTGGTTAGAGCACTCGCCTTGCAAGTGGGACACCTAGTTTCAATTCCAGGCAGGGCGAAAGCTTGGGCAAGTTTCCTTACTCCACACAGCTGATAATAATCCCTCCAAAACAAAAAATAAATTGTTCATTTTGAATCCACGTTTGTGGGACACTGTTGTGCACAATTGGCTGCCGCGTTTCGCCCACAAATATACGGTCAATTCACTTTACAATTACTCTGTGAAGCGCTTTGAGACGTCGAGAAGATGTGAAAAGTGCCATATCAAATGCAAGCATTATTATTATTTATATTATAGTAGCTTTGCGTATTTATACAATACTTGAGTGGAGTACAAAATACTGTCTCAGCACACAGAGGACCTTTGAAAAAGGAAACGCACTGAGCAAAACGAAAGATCACTGTACTTTAATCACACAATTAACACATTTGTGCATGACTGAATATATTCCCTAATCTGTACCTAATTTTTTGGGGGTGATTGAATTGAAAAATCATAGAATTTAAAGGACCATCTAGGGAGGCATAATGCATGTGAAGCAAAAAAGTGAGGTCTTTCAACTTCATTTGTTGAGAAAACAATGGTATACATTCCCATTGCATTTTCCTCAGTGAATGATGCTCCCTCCTGATCAATATCAGGAAGACATAGAATCATAGAATTATACAGTACAGAAGGAGGCCAGTCAGCCCATCGTGTCTGTGCCGGCTCTTTGAAAAGACCTATCCAATTTAATCCCACTCCCCCGCGCTCTCCCCATAGCCCTGCAACCTTGTCCTCCCCAAATAATTATCTACTTCTCTCTTAAAAGTTGTTATCGAATCGGCTTCCACCGTCCTTTCAGGCAACGCAATCCAGATCCAAACAACCGCTGTGTGAAAAAAATTCTCCTCACCTCCCTCTATTACTTTTAACAAATATTTTAAATCGATGTCCTCAGGTTACCGACCCACCCGCCAGTGGAAATAGTTTCTCCTTATTCACCCTATCGAATCCCCTCATAATTTTGAAATGAAGTCTCCTCTTAATCTTATCTGCTCCAAGGAGAATAATCCTAGCTTCTCTAGCCTCTCCTGATAACTGAAGTCCCTCATTCCTGGTACTATCCTGGTAAATCTCCTTTGCACCTTCTCCAATGCCTTGACATCCTTCCTAAAGTGTGGTGCCCAGAACTGAACACAGTACTCTAGCTGAGGCCTGACCAGTGTTTTATAAACGTTCATCATAACTTTCTGACTTTTGTATTCTATGCCCCTATTTATAAAGCCTAGAATCCCGTAATCTTTTTTTAACAGCTTTATCTACCTGTTCTGTCACCTTCAAAGATTTACTTATATGAACCCCCAGGTCCCTCTGTTCCTTGTACCATTTATCTTTTATTGCCTCTCCTCATTCTTCCTTCCAAAATGCATCACTTCGTATTTCTCCACAATAAACTTTATCTGCCTCGTGTTTGCCCATTTTACCAGTCTGTCTATGTCCATTTGTCCATTTCCCTCCAGTCAGAAAAATAACCATTCACTACCACTCTCTGCTTTCTGTCTCCCAGCCAGTTCTGTATCCCTGTTGCCACTGTCCCTTTAATACCGTGGGCTTCTATTTTGCTTACATGTCTCTTATGTGGCACTTTATCAAACGCCTTTTGAAAATCCATATAAACTACATCAACTGCACTACCTTCATCCACCCTCTCCGTTACTTCATCAAAAAACTTAATCAGGTTTGTTAACAAATCCGTGTTGGCCGTCCTTTATTAACCCATATTTTTCTAAGTGAAAATTTATTTTGTCCCGGATAGTCTCTAGCAGTTTCCCCAATACTGACGTTAGGCTGACTGGCCTGTAATTCCCTGGTTTATCCTTCTGCCCCTTTTTGTACAGCGGAGTAACATTTGCAACCCTCCAGTCCTCTGGCACCACCCCGGTGTCCCAGAGGATTGAAAGATTGTGGCCAGAACCTCCGTTATTTCCACCCTTACTTTCCTCAGTAATCCAGGATGCATCCCGTCGATGACTTATTTACCTTGAGCACCGACAACCTTTTTTGTACCTCCTCTTGGTTTATTATTATCTTATCCAATTTCTCTACTTTCTTCTCCGATACTGTGCATTGGCTGCACCCTCTTCTTTGTGAAGACAGATGCAAAGTACTCATTCAGTATGTCAGCCATGCCCTCTGCCTCCACAAGAAGATTTCCTCTTTGGTCCCTAATTGGACTAACTTTGACTAACCTTTTATTCTTTATATGCTATTAAAATACCTTAGGGTTCCCATTTATGTTACCCGCTAATCTTTTCTCATACAATCTCTTTGCCTCTCTTATTTCCTTTTTCAGTTCTCCTCTGTACTTTCTATATTCTATTTGATTATCTCACGAGCACCAGTTTTAATGATAGGCCATTCTGGGGAATGTGAGGTATTGTCTCCCAATACTATTTCCTGAATCACGCTGCAAAAGCTGGAGAAAGTGATATTTTAATAGAGATCGGAAAAAACTGTTGAATAACGAAAACAAACCTGTGAGAAATCGGCTTCCAAATTAAGAATGAATTTAAGAAATTCCCCAAATTCTACACAATCTTACATTTTAAGCACTCTGAAACGCGGACTCACATTAAAGGCGTTATATAAATGCAAGGTGTTGTTCCTAAGACAATGAAGACAATGGTGTTAAGACTAAATACAATGAGGGTCTCAGGTACCAACATCCGCAGATGTTGAGTTCTCATGAAAGTCTATATACATAAAGGTTGTTTGCTGATTTAAAGAAGTGTAACTTTAGATGTTATCTATTGGAGGATCTCTTCATTTTACAGCAACTGTGGTGTGCAGTTCATTTCTCAAGCTAAATAAAGCTTTTTTTTAAGCCGGGCTTTCCACAAGGTGCTATGACACTCATAACTTCTTTTTCGATGTTTTCTACACAATCCTTCTCCAAACAAACACGAGAACTTGACCACCGGACTCAACCTTTGTAGAAATAGCAACACTAGCTCTCAGTGTGCAACTCCTAAATATAAGTTGCTGAATGGTAACTTCATTGTAGAAATACAACTCCGTGCAACTGGATCAAACCGGCAAAACTAATTTGAATGCCAGTGATATCAAGTTGAAGTAATATTTCTTACGAGTTCTAACTTCCCTGTTAAGGTCAACTGAAGTAACTAGACACTGTTTACCTCACTTTAATTGTTCACTCACTTCATGGCTGTTCGTGGGATACTGCTGTGTGCAAATTAGCTGCTTTATTCAGCTACATAATAGGTCACTATGTTTTACAGTACATCCTGTGAAGCAATTTGAGACATCTTTGAGATTCCTTCCTTTAAGGCATTTTCTCTTTCCCCTCTTCTTGAGTCTCCTCACATCAAAGTCCAGGCAGGAGGTCTCAGTCTCTGGTACTGCTCGATAATGGTGAGTTGTGGGTGACTCATGCAGTTTTACCTCTGTGTGGGAAGTGCCTTGATACACCTTGTGGCTCCCGATGATATCATACAAGATAGTTAATGCACCACGTGCCTCCAACCTCTCCATCATTCCATCACTGACATTGTTTTGCTTTGTGGAGTCCTGTAGCTCAGTGGTTAGAGCACTCGCTTTGCAAGTGAGAGACCGGAGTTCAATTCCAGGCAGGGCGAAACCTTGGGTAAGTTTCCTTACTCCACACGCCTAACAATAATCCCTCCAAAACCAAACACAATAATAAATTGGTCATTTGCAATCTACGACTGTTTGTGGGACATTGCTGTGCGCAATTGGCTGCCTCGTTCGCCCACAAATATACAGTCAATTCACTTTACAGTGTGTTCTGTGAAGCGCTTTGGGACGTCCTCCTGACGTGAAAAGCGCTATATCAAATGCAAGGATTATTATTATTCTAATTACCAAATGGTGTAGATAGGAATTGTCGCTCAGCAGGCAGCAGCCTACTTCGTGTCCCCTGCCCCATCATTAGCGGTCAGGCTTTCAGCCTACCTGCCTGCACTCTCTGGAACTCCATCAGAGTACCTCAGATTCGCTCTCTCCCTCAGCTCTTTCAGGATTCATCTCAAGACCTACCTATCCCTTTCTTTGTCCTTCCCCTCCCCCAATCCTTAGCTGGGGTGCCAAGCCAGGACTATTAAACAAACGCCTTGAGACGTCCTCCTGATGTGAAAGGGCTATATAAATGATAAATGTAAATGAGTATTTTACTGTAAGAGATTAAAGTGGTCTATTAGAGGTGCCAGAGATTAGCATAGCCACTGTGTATTGCTGTTTGGGACCTCGGGGTAAAATGCAGATATATACAAAGGTTTCAGTCTACTGTGCCTGTCCTGGCTCTGAAAAATACTTTCCATTTAGTACCACTCCATTGCCCATTCTTCCTACCCTTGCACATTTTTTAAAAAATATTTGTCCAATTCCCTTTCAAGAGCCGTTATGGAGTACTGGTTGAGGTTGGAATTTCAGCTTTATTGAGCTTTACCAAAAGCACAAGTTTGACGCAATACAGATACAGTGTGACTGAAAAAAGCAACACATTTACTTTCAAATTTCTGGTCTTGAACACCATTTGTAGAATATTGCTTCTTTAATCTATATAGTTCTAATATTTTTACGTGTTTACCTTAGTCTGAAAAATTTCAAAGAACTTAATACCTCAAGTCAATATATAAGATAGATATAAACTTATCTCTTTAACTATTAAAGCAAGGTCATTTAATATTTGGACTCGAGAGTTCTTTTAACATCTATTTAGTATTTTTTCAGTCTTTAGTATTTAGTCTATGCTGACAGTAGAGCCTTAGCTTTCTGCTTTTCAAACAATTCTTTCTGTTGTTGCTCAGTTGTGGCATCTGTTTGCTGCATCAGATCTTTATCTCCCCTGGTCACTTTCCAGCTATCTGGTTTGGATAAGGAGGGTGAATAAGGCAAGCCACTTGCAGGCACCAGGTTCTCCCAATAGTCCCTCCGGGCTCTGGAGAACAAGAATAAAGAAAAGACCTGTTTCACTTTGTGCAGGTTGTTTGGACACAATAAAATCTGTAATTACCTTGAAGAGAGAGCCCAAACCAGACTCATTTGAATCTCTGGTATACTACATTCTGGTGTACTTCATTACTGTGTGCAATTTGGGTCTCCCTATTTAAGGAAGGATGTACTTGCCTTGGAGGGGGTGCAGCGTAGATTTACTAGGTTAGTGCCAGGGATGAAGGGGATGAGTTACGAGGATAGGCTGACCAATTTGGGCCTATATTCTCTAGAACATAGAAGAATTAGAGGGGATCTTATAGAACCCTATAAGATCATCAAAGGGCATGATAGAGTAGATAGTGGGAGATTGTTTCCCCTGGTTGGAGAAACTAAAACTAGGGGTCACAACCTTAAAATCAGAGGCCAGCCCTTTCGCACTGAGTTGAGGAAGAACTTCTTCACTCAAAGGGTGGTGAATGTATGGAACTCACTACTCCAAAGGGCTGTTGACGCTCAGTCCTTGAACATATTCAAGACTGAGATAGATATATTTCTTATTGAAAAAGGGATTAAGGGATACGGGGATAAGGCAGGGTCAGGTTATTAGCTGGAGTTAGATTAGAAGATCAGCCATGATTGAATGGTGGGGTAGGCTCGAAGGGCCGAATGGCCTACTCCTGCTCCTACATGTTATGTCATTCTCAATGTTAATTTTTCTGACTGTAAATTAGGAAAGCAATTGTATCTTATTATCCGCTAAAATTTTGCTTCAATACAAACTGCAGAGGTGAGTGTTCATATTTTGCTATCTGGCTCTCCAATATTCCACAATAATTAGATTTTTCTTGCAAAGATTGAATTACTAAGTCATTCAGGGAAGAATCAGAAACAGCTCCATAGCATGGGTTTAGAGTTATAGCTACTTCCTTTTGGGTCAACATTTGCTTCAAAGGTACAGAAGGTGAGATATGTGCTTCACTGTGATAAATAAACTTTAAATTTGACTTCTTTGTCCTTCTGTTTTATCACTTGTAAAACTATTTATCTATCATATAATGTTGGCTTTAGCTGGTAAAATTCCCACAAAACCCCAAACCTTCACACACTCACTACGTGCACTGTAAAGTTCTGTAATAAGCTGTTCGTACCTTGCTCTCACCCACGGTTTTGTGTGCATGGAGAGGCCAGTCCCCCAGCTATCGTGTTTCTCTGAAGCTTGGGGAAGGAAGCCCCTCTCAGCTGAGAGCTCCTCTGCTACAGCCCTGATGTGATAGGGCTCAAATCCACAGCAGCCGCCAATGTACCTGATTCCCAGATTGTATGCTTCCCTTGCAAATTTATGCATGTCCCATCTGGTAGAAATTCGGGGCTCCAAAGCTTTTTCAAAACAAAATAAAAGTATTATGTCACACGATCCAGTTTTTAAGTTACTTAATTTTCAGCTCTGTCTCTATCCCAGGTTTAGTATCAAATCTGGCTAGAAATTTTGCTTTACCAAGTTTGCAATTATGCTTGCCCAAATATTCTGTCAAGTTCAGTAATGTTTCCGGTCGTGAAGGATAATCATGTTATACTGCTCAGTTGTAAAGAACTGTACATACTTTCCATGTAAAAGCAATAACAAACTGTCATATTAAAATGTCAATCTAAGGAACAAAATCTTACCAAAAGGAAACTCTGGAAGATCAATAAATCCCTGGCTGTTACAATCAGGTGTATGGAAAGCCACAGGCTGCACCATCAGATGTGCTTTGAGTTTTGCAGCATCTAAACCTTCCTTCATAAGCTTCATAGTTTTGAGACTAGTGGCATAGTCAAAATGGCAGTTCACTCCAACAATCTGAGCACCTATAAAAACAATAATTTAAACTCTTAAGAACACAAAAGACTGAATAACATGTTGCTTAAGAAAACCAGTACAACGAGGCTGAACAATTGATTGGCTGCTCCCTGTCTCCCGCCTGGCCCACCCCATCATTAGTGACTGGGCCTTCAGCCTCTCTTCCCCTACCCTTTGGAACTCCATCCCATAGTCCCTTCACCTTGCCCCCTCCCTTGCCTCCTTCGAGGCATGCCTCTATACCCTCCTCTTCACCTGTGCCTTTGGCCACCTTCCTAACCCTACCCTCCCTGCCCTCCACCCCTCCTGATCCCAACCACCAGCTTGTGTCCAAATTCCGATTGTCCAGCGCTTTGGGGCATCCTCCTGACATAAAAGGTGCTATACAAATATAATTTGTTGTTGTTGTGGTTTACTTAAACTCCACCTTCAAGGTTTCTTTCTATTACCCAACAAAACAAAAAGTTCCTTAATCTGACCCTGAAGAGGATTGTAAATTAGCTTTGTGCTGCACACATACTTGCATGTGATATAGCACCTTTCACATTGGGAGGATGTCTTAAAGTGCTTCATATGGCATACTGTAACGTGTAATTACTGCATTATGTAGGCATAAAGTTCTAAGGCACTGATTCATCCCTGCAATCCTCCACAAGGAGCTTTTGATCCAACCTGTGCCACTGAGGAACCGTCAAACATAAATCAGCGCTTTCACGTGTGAACAGAAAGTTAAAAATAAATATGTTGAGTCAGGCTTTCATGATTCCAGTAGTCAGCTTACACTTTTCCTTTCACCCTCAGCCAGGGAATGGTAAGTGAACTGAATGAAAGAAACTTGATCGTGGGGGGAGAGGGAAAAAAAAGTTCTACCATTTTTAGCCATGGACTTTGAAAGACCAAATAACCAATAATAGCATAAAGTGAAGTGCTTAGTCTCAGGATGGCCACTCTCAAGTAATAAGGCTTGTTTTTAAATTGTTGGTGTTGTAGTCACCAGCATTGGTACATTCAGAGATGATGTGATGTTCAGGCCCAGTGGAGAAAATACCACCGCATTTGGTCCATTTTGTATTTGGGTTGGCAGAGGCTGATAATGGCACTGGGTAACCTAAGTGGGAGGTGTTTCATGGTTTGCGCTGACAATTTGAATGCATTATTTTATTCTTCTAGAAAAAACTCTTAACAGTTATCTTTTTTTTGGCCTTAGGATCTAAAGGATCGCTTTTCAGCAACAGTGATTTTGAACTGCTTTATGTTCCTAAATAAACTGGAGAAAGTGCCTCACCAGCCTTGGTCAGCCTGATTGCACAATCCCCAGGTGAAACTCCTTTCAGATCACCCTCTGGACCAATACATAGGGTGGCGGCAACTGGTTTCCCAGATTCCTTTAAAACTTCAACTGCCCACACTGCTTCTTCCACATGCTCGTAGTACTGTGAAAGATAGCAGAATACATGATTATCAAGCCTGCCACTTAACAAGCAGAGTTTTGGACTTAAGACAAATTCAAGCTAATCTTGCTCATGACAAAATGGTAGCTCATATGGTTTCCCTTCAGAAACATTGATATAGATCACATCAATGATATTTGATCTATATCAATGATTTATATATATATATATTAATCCTTAGGTGTCTTTTCACGTTGGAAAGACTTTGAATTGCAGTTTCCTGTCTTTTTTGTGGTTATAAAAATTACCCACTTTAAAATTAAAACTGTACTTAAGAAGTTGTCAAATTCTGTTTGCTCTGAAATAATAATAATAATAATCCTGGCATTTGATATTGTAGATTGACTGTGTATTTTGTGGGCGAACCATGGCAGCCAATTGCACACATCAGTATCCCACAAACAGACGTGGATTGAGTGACCAAATGTTTTTTTTAGGGATTATTACCCCTGGAAAATAATCCACCTATCAATTAACAACCAGATTCCCTCTCACTGCTCGGTAAACAGAGATATGTGGAAACTAGCCTAAGGTTTCGCCCCGCCCGGGAATTGAACCTGGATCCTCTCACTTGCGAGCTGAGTGCGCTAACCATTACGCTACGGGACTCTGAATATGGTACAAATTCTGAACATATTGATAATACAAACATTTATACAGTTCTATATAAAAGTAGTGACCATTCAGAAATCCAGTTAAATGTAGAGAAGACCAGGTTGGATCATTTACCTCAGCAATCATGAAGTCCACATCCTTCTTGACAAAGACTTCCAGCTGTTTCCTAAAGATTTCCTTCACTTCAGACTGACTCTTACAGCTGAGGTAGGCTGGAGTTTGAGAGACTCCTCCAGCAACCAATGCATCCCCTTCGTTGGCCACCTCCCGAGCAATATCACATGCAGCTTCATTCACACTTTGGCCCTGAAAGGGATAAAAGTTATGCTACTTTTTAGATCTCCGGCATAAACACTTTTGATTTAATAAATAATTCACCTGGAGCTGAAAAATCAAGAAATATAATAACTGATCCAGGTTGATCATTTAGTTTGAACATTTAGACACAATTTTTAAATGAAATCTTTCACAATAGTTTGTTCATGCAGATGTTTATGCTGGATTCAGAAAGACAACAATAATAATCCTTGCATTTGATATAGCGCCTCATCACATTGTTGAGACATCTCAAAGTGTTTCACAGAATATACTGTACAGTGAATTGACTGTACATTTTGAGGCTGAAACTCGGCAGCCAATTGTGCACATTAGAGTCCCACAAACAGTAAGGAATTGAATGACCAAATGATTATTTTTTTTTGAAGAGATTATTACCCTTGGAAAGCAATCCAACAATGGATTAACAACTGAGTTCCTACTTACTGCTAGTTAAACTGAGGCATGTAGAGCAAGGAAGCTTGCCTAAAGTTTTACCCTGTCAGATTATTAATAAAATGACTCCATATAGTTTCAGAGTGAGAGGTCATATTGCAAGATAAGGTATTCCTACTGTTTTGTTCTGGAGAAGGTTTGATTTATGTTAAAGTTCTGAGCACCGATAACTTGGAAGTTAATTTCATAATCGCTTCCAAGAAGGGATCTTGAAATAGCATACGACAGAAAGCACACCACATTGCCATGTTATCATAGATCACAACCGTTCTTGCAACACGTGTGAACTTTATATTTAAAATATTTAATTGCCGGACAAAGATAAAATAATTTATGGGCATCATCGCATTCAATACCCATTCTTTCAAGGATGATGATAATAATAATAATCCTTGCACTAATCCTTATCACATCTTTGAGATGTCTCAAAGCTCTTTACAAAATATATTGCAAAGTGAATTGACTTATATTTTGTGGGCGAAACGCGGCAGCCAATTGCGCACATCAGTGTCCCGCAAAGAGTCGTAGATTGAAGTGACCAAATTTTTATTATTTATTTATTTTTTAAGATATTATTACTCCCGGAAAAGCGATCCGCCTATCTATTGCTCTCTTGAAACAACTTTTAAGAGAGAAGTAGGTAATTATTTGTGGAGGACAAGTTTGGAGGGCAATGGGGAGCGAGCACGGGAGTGGGATTGATTTAGATAGTTCTTTTCAAGGAGCCAGCACAGACAAGATGGGCCAAATAGCCTGCTTCTGTGCTGTATAATTCTATGATTTTAGGTGAACAGAGACGTGTGGAGTAAGGAAACTTGTCCAACGTTTCGCCCTGCAGGGAATCGAACCTAGATCCTCTCGCTTGCGAAGTGAGTGCACTAAACACTAAGATACAGGATTCCGATACCAGTAATACTAATTATAATAATAATACTTCTCAGTATTACTCTCTGAATAATAGCAGTTCTCAGCATGAGGTAAAACAAGAGATAAAGTGGTCCAATGCACTTGCCTTCATCCAAGGAACCCGAATGATCAGGAAGTTCTTTGAGACGAGCCAGAGGGATTGCAATTCTCTTTTCCTGTTCTGTACATTCCCACGTTTAACTCTGGTGTAGCCCCAATACCTTGATTGATTTAGTTTTAAAATTGAAGCTCAAGGAGGATTTGCAATTTTATTAGAAAGTCAATAATGATTTGTGATTTTACACCTGTCAAGTGGCCCCACTTAACAAGCAGTTCACAGCCATCAGTTGAGTTGCCTGTAAGACGTCACAATACGTCACTAGAGGTACATTGAAACTATTTGCTCAAATATGAAATCTAAATTGGAAAGCAGACTTACTGAGAACTTTTGACCTGCAATGTTTCCTCTATTCTTCAACTTGTCATCACTAGCATAGAAGGTGAAAGTCTGCATAACTGTAGAGCCTGCTCTGAGGAATTCACGGTGCAGTTGTCTTACTGAAAATTAAACAAACAAAACAAGTCTAGGACACTAAACAGCTGGTAAAGGCATTTTACAGACACAAATGTCACCACCTACCACCAATATTTAAGCAGCCTGCTGGATACAGTATGTTCTAGTCAAATGATCGCTTCTGAATGTACAACCTTGATGCAGATCACATTTACACAATATAAAGAAGCATCCAGCCGAGGATTAACAGCTATAAGTAGTCCGCGATAGGATCACTGATACCCTGATTTTTCCTTTGATCCACTAATTTAAGTAATTGAAGTTACTGCTATTGGCAATACAATGCTAGGTAAGAGAAGTATTTGTATCATGCAGCAGGAAAAAGATTGTTTTAGCAGCGGAATTTTATTTTGCATGGATTGTCTGTTTTTCCTCTTGGCTTATGGACTCATCATAAAAATAATATTTGATATAAATTTGATATAGCACCTTATCGCATCTTCGAGAGTCTCAAAGCGCTTCACAGATTATACTGTAAAGTGAATTGACTGTATATTTTGTGGGTGAATTGCGGAAGCCAATTGCGAACAGCAGTATCCCACAGAAAGTAGTGGATTGAGTGACCAATTTATTATTATTTATTTTTGAAGAATCTATTCCCCTCATAAAGCGATCCGTCAATTGACTAACAACCGGGTTCCTACTTACAGCTAAGTAAACAGAAGCGTGTGGAGTTAGGAAACTTGCCTAAGGTATTGCCCGGGCCGGGAATCGAACCAGGGTCCTCTCGCTTGTGAGGCGAGTGCTCTAATCAATACGCTACATGACTTACCAGCCTCGGGATACTCTACTGTTGCCTCTGGAGTCCAGGGACCTGCTTTGACATATCCCCTCTTCTCCAGAGCAAAAACAAACCCGCCATCACCAATAACGATCTCTCCTGCTTCCAAACGCTCCAAAATTCCCTGCAATAACATTTGTAATAACATCTTAATCGGATAAATTCAAGGCAGTAAATTACAGAACAGATCTAATTAAAGAGGTCCACTCCTACTGTAAAAATCAACAGTGAATCTATTAATAGGTTTACACAAAAGAATTACAACAAGATTCCATTTATTGAGCGCCTTTCACGTCGGGAGGACGTCCCAAGGCGCTGTACAGTTGGGTCAGGACCCGAGCAGGGGGGATATGGTCAGGGTGAGGGGAGGGAAGGGAGGGAGCGAGGAGGGGGTAGAGAGTCAAGAGGGGAGCTGAAGGCTCGGTCAAAGAGAAATTAAAAAGTGGGTGAATTAAAAAGCATTATATGCAAAAAAAAACATCACCAGCAGGATTCTAAATAACTATCATAATTAAGAAAGTTTCACAAACACCCACCAATAATTTTCCAATGTGCTCGATGTGACAATTCACTTTGAGCCTCCGCTGCTAATATAAATATATTCCAAAATAAACCCAATAATGTACAAACACCTTTGTGGTGATCCGTCCAAAGTGATAAAATGTGCTCGATTTGAAATGATCTTTCAGTTTGTTCCTCTGCTTATTGAAAAGGTTTACACTGTGTCAGCAATGACAGCGAGTAGGAGCAGACTGTAGCAATGGAGAGTGTGAGAGAGGGAGGGGGAGAGTGGGAGAGGGAGGGAGAGAGAGAATGAGAGACAGAGTGAGAGAGGCAGAGAGAGTGAGAGGGGGAGGGAGAGAGAGAGAGTGAGTGAGGGAGGGAGGGAGAGGCAGTGAGAGTGAGAGGGGGAGGAGAGGCAGTGAGAGTGAGAGGGGGAGGGAGAGAGAGAGAGTAAGTGAGGGAGGGAGGGAGGGAGAGGCAGTGAGAGTGAGAGGGGGAGGGAGAGAGAGAGTAAGTGAGGGAGGGAGGGAGGGAGAGGCAGTGAGAGTGAGAGGGGGAGGGAGAGAGAGAGTAAGTGAGGGAGGGAGGGAGAGAAGTGAGGGAGGGAGGGAGGGAGAGGCAGTGAGAGTGAGAGGGGGATGGAGAGAGAGAGAGTAAGTGAGGGAGGGAGGGAGGGAGAGGCAGTGAGAGTGAGAGGGGGAGGGAGAGAGAGAGAGTGAGTGAGGTAGGCAGATTGAGAGGGGGAGGTAGAGAGAGCGAGTGAGGGAGGGAGGGAGGGAGGGAGAGTGAGAGAGGCAGTGAGAGTGAGAGGGGGAGGGAGAGAGAGAGAGAGTAAGTGAGGGAGGGAGAGAGTGAGAGACAGAGTGAGAGAGGCAGGGAGAGTGAGAGGCGGAGGGAGAGAGTGTGAGTGAGAGAGGAAGAGAGAGAGAGGGAGGGACGGAGTGAGAGAGGGAGAGAGGAGAGAGGAGCCTCAGGGGTAGTCCGAATGTAAGTGAAGATGAGATGGAGATGATGGAGATCAACCAGTGATGCTCCTCACACCAGAGAGTTTCTTGTGTATTGTTTTATATATTTAATTATTTAAAATTATTTTCAATTTATACCCAACCTGAGGGTGCCCAGCCTGAGGGTGCCCAGCCTGAGGGTGCCCAACCTGAGGGTACCCAGCCTGAGGGTGCCCAGCCTGAGGGTACGCAGCCTGAGATACCCAACCTGAGGGTGCCCAGCCTGAGGGTGCCCAGCCTGAGGGTACCCAGCCTGAGGGTACCCAGCCTGAGGGTGCCCAGCCTGAGGGTGCCCAGCCTGAGGGTACGCAGCCTGAGATACCCAACCTGAGGGTACCCAGCCTGAGGGTGCCCAGCCTGAGGGTACCCAGCCTGAGGGTGCCCAGCCTGAGGGTGCCCAGCCTGAGGGTACCCAGCCTGAGATACCCAGCCCGAGGGTGCCCAGCCCGAGGGTACCCAGCCCGAGGGTACCCAGCCTGAGGGTACCCAGCCTGAGGGTACCCAGCCTGAGGGTACCCAGCCTGAGGGTACCCAGCCTGAGGGTACCCAGCCTGAGGGTACCCAGCCTGAGGGTGCCCAGCCTGAGGGTACCCAGCCTGAGGGTACCCAGCCTGAGGGTGCCCAGCCTGAGGGTGCCCAGCCTGAGGGTGCCCAGCCTGAGGGTGCCCAGCCTGAGATACCCAGCCTGAGATACCCAGCCTGAGGGTACCCAGCCTGAGGGTGCCCAGCCTGAGATACCCAGCCTGAGGGTGCCCAGCCTGAGGGTACCCAGCCTGAGATACCCAGCCTGAGGGTGCCCAGCCTGAGGTACCCAGCCTGAGATACCCAGCCTGAGGGTGCCCAGCCTGAGGGTACCCAGCCTGAGATACCCAGCCTGAGGGTACCCAGCCTGAGGGTGCCCAGCCTGAGGTACCCAGCCTGAGATACCCAGCCTGAGGGTGCCCAGCCTGAGGTACCCAGCCTGAGATACCCAGCCTGAGGGTGCCCAGCCTGAGGTACCCAGCCTGAGATACCCAGCCTGAGGGTACCCAGCCTGAGGGTACCCAGCCTGAGGGTACCCAGCCTGAGATACCCAGCCTGAGGGTACCCAGCCTGAGATACCCAGCCTGAGGGTGCCCAGCCTGAGATACCCAGCCTGAGGGTACCCAGCCTGAGGGTGCCCAGCCTGAGGGTGCCCAGCCTGAGGGTGCCCAGCCTGAGGGTACCCAGCCTGAGGGTGCCCAGCCTGAGGGTGCCCAGCCTGAGGGTACCCAGCCTGAGGGTACCCAGCCTGAGATACCCAGCCTGAGGGTGCCCAGCCTGAGGGTGCCCAGCCTGAGGGTGCCCAGCCTGAGGGTACCCAGCCTGAGGGTGCCCAGCCTGAGGGTGCCCAGCCTGAGGGTGCCCAGCCTGAGGGTGCCCAGCCTGAGATACCCTGAGAGAGTTGGTGTGAACTCCGGAGAGAATAACACACACATACACTGCCCAGCTCGGCCACCCCTGCCCTGCCCTGCCCTGCCCGGCACCACCCGGGCATGCCCAGCAATAAAGTGCCCCACCCAGCAACAACCTGCCCGGCCGCCCCCTGCCCCGCCCGGCCGCCCCCTGCCCCTGCCCCGCCCGGCACCACCCGCCCCCTGCCCCGCCCGCCCCCTGCCCTGCCCGGCCCGGCACCACCCGCCCCCTGCCCCGCCCGCCCCCTGCCCTGCCCGGCCCGGCACCACCCGCCCCCTGCCCGGCCCGGCCGCCCCCTGCCCTGCCCCGCCCGGCCCCTGCCCTGCCCTGCCCGGCACCACCCGCCCCTGCCCGGCCCGGCCGGCCCCTGCCCTGCCCGGCACCACCCGCCCCCCGCCCGGCCCGGCCGCCCCCTGCCCCGGACAGCATGTCCAGCAACTGGTGAGGCGGGGAGTGCGGGAGGTTTCCCTTCCGTTGAAAATAATTAAATATGTAAAACAATACACAGAAACCCCCCGTCACGGCTATCAACCCGGAGATTTGCCAAAATGCCGTCATACCAATAAATCCTCGCGCAAAATACAACACATCCATTACAACTCAGTACCAGCCTTACCAGCCTGAGATACCCTGAGATACCCTGAGATACCATGAGATACCCTGAGATACCATGAGATACCATGAGATACCAGCCTGAGATACCAGCCTGAGATACCAGCCTGAGATACCCTGAGATACCAGCCTGAGATACCATGAGATGCCCAGCCTGAGATACCCTGAGATACCATGAGATACCAGCCTGAGATACCATGAGATGCCCAGCCTGAGATACCCTGAGATACCATGAGATACCAGCCTGAGATACCCTGAGATACCATGAGATACCAGCCTGAGATACCCTGAGATACCCTGAGATACCAGCCTGAGATACCAGCCTGAGATACCATGAGATGCCCAGCCTGAGATACCCTGAGATACCATGAGATACCAGCCTGAGATACCCTGAGATACCAGCCTGAGATACCATGAGATGCCCAGCCTGAGATACCATGAGATGCCCAGCCTGAGATACCCTGAGATACCAGCCTGAGATACCAGCCTGAGATACCAGCCTGAGATACCCTGAGATACCATGAGATACCAGCCTGAGATACCAGCCTGAGATACCAGCCTGAGATACCATGAGATGCCCAGCCTGAGATACCATGAGATGCCCAGCCTGAGATACCAGCCTGAGATACCAGCCTGAGATACCATGAGATGCCCAGCCTGAGATACCAGCCTGAGATACCAGCCTGAGATACCATGAGATGCCCAGCCTGAGATACCATGAGATGCCCAGCCTGAGATACCCTGAGATACCAGCCTGAGATACCATGAGATGCCCAGCCTGAGATACCCTGAGATACCAGCCTGAGATACCATGAGATGCCCAGCCTGAGATACCAGCCTGAGATACCCTGAGATACCAGCCTGAGATACCATGAGATGCCCAGCCTGAGATACCCTGAGATACCAGCCTGAGATACCAGCCTGAGATACCAGCCTGAGATACCATGAGATGCCCAGCCTGAGATACCCAGCCTGAGATACCCAGCCTGAGATACCATGAGATGCCCAGCCTGAGATACCCAGCCTGAGATACCCTGAGATACCAGCCTGAGATACCCTGAGATGCCCAGCCTGAGATACCCTGAGATGCCCAGCCTGAGATACCAGCCTGAGATACCAGCCTGAGATACCCTGAGATACCAGCCTGAGATACCCTGAGATGCCCTGCCTGAGATACCAGCCTGAGATACCCTGAGATACCAGCCTGAGATACCCTGAGATGCCCTGCCTGAGATACCCTGAGATACCAGCCTGAGATGCCCAGCCTGAGATACCCTGAGATACCAGCCTGAGATACCCTGAGATGCCCTGCCTGAGATACCCTGAGATACCAGCCTGAGATGCCCAGCCTGAGATACCCTGAGATGCCCTGCCTGAGATACCCTGAGATACCAGCCTGAGATACCAGCCTGAGATACCCAGCCTGAGATACCCTGAGATGCCCAGCCTGAGATGCCCAGCCTGAGATACCATGAGATGCCCAGCCTGAGATGCCCAGCCTGAGATGCCCTGAGATACCAGCCTGAGATGCCCAGCCTGAGATACCCTGAGATGCCCAGCCTGAGATGCCCAGCCTGAGATACCATGAGATGCCCAGCCTGAGATGCCCAGCCTGAGATGCCCTGAGATGCCCAGCCTGAGATGCCCAGCCTGAGATACCATGAGATGCCCAGCCTGAGATGCCCAGCCTGAGATGCCCTGAGATGCCCAGCCTGAGATGCCCAGCCTGAGATGCCCAGCCTGAGATGCCCTGAGACGCCCTGAGACACCCCGAGAAGCCCTGAGATGCCGAAGGGCTCCGATTGCGTCCCTCTCGGTGTGACTCACAGTTTAAAGTCGCGACTTTTGTTTTGAGGGGAAAAGAAGAAGAAGAAGAGAGAGAAAAAAAAAAGAGAAATTTCGGACAAAAAAATAAGCGGGAAACCCCCCCCCCCCAATAAATCCCCTCTCCACCTGTGTCCCTCTCTGTGTATATATATATAATATATATAATATATAATATATACAGTAGACAAGAAATAATTACCCTCTTGGCGGCGCTCTTGCCGGTGGCTCCCACGGGAGGCATTGTGGCTGTCGGGGGGTTTATTTGGCGGCTCTCGGGGGGGGTTCGTTGGGGCCGCAGACAAATCAACGTCGTCGTTCTTCTCCTTCTTCCCTCCGAGGAGCAGGTGCTGTACACCAGGTTTTTATAGAGACATTGTGAGGGGGGGATCCGCCTCCTCCTCCCCATTGGGCCTTCCCCCTCCTCCCCCCCTCCTCCCTCGGGGTTGGGGTTGGCGTTGGGGGGGAATGACCTCGAGAGACACAGACACACGACAACTGGAGGGAGGGGGAGCGGCGGCGGCGGCGGCTGGTGGTGGTGGTGGTGGTGTTGGGGGTTTCTTGCAGGAAAGAAACATTTTAAAAAAAATAAGATCATTAAAGCCCTCACCCACACCCCCCCCCCACCCCCCACCCCCCGGCACTGTGTGTGGGACCCCCGGTCCCGGGCCCGGACATGTCGCCGCCGCTGCTCAGGCTGTTACATCGCTGTTTCCCCGGACGACGTGTGGCTGCACTGACGGGTCTGTCAACCGCCCCTCCGCGACCCCTGAGCAGCGCCTCCTCTCCCACCAAACCGCCTGAGGGGTGAGTGCTTTACTAACCCCCTCACCCCCACACCCCCACCCCTCACCCCACACCCCCCCCTCACTGCCCCCCCACCCCCCCCTCACTGCCCCCCCACACACCCCCTCACTGCCCCCCACACCCCCCCCCTCACCCCCCCTCACTGCCCCCCCTCACCCCCCACCCCCCCTCCTCACTGCCCCCCCCACACACCCCCCTCACTGCCCCCCCACACCCCCCCCTCACCCCCCCCTCACTGCCCCCCCTCACCCCCACCCCCCCTCACTGCCCCCCACACCCCCCCCTCACTGCCCCACCACCCCCCCCTCACTGCGCTCCCCCCACAGCCCCCCACAACCCCCCTCCTCACAGCCCCCCCCACACCCCCCCTCACCCCCACACACCCCCCTCACTGTCCCCCACACCCCCCCCTCACTGCCCCCCCCTCACTGCCCCCCTGGATTTGCTGCTGTAAACGGAGCCGCTTTTGACAGCCACAAACTTTGCTGTTCTGTGCGGCTGTGACTGACTGACTGACTGACTGAGCTGTTGGGGGATCGCGTTTCCTTCTCCTGTTGTTACTTTGCAACTTTGTCTACAAAATGTCCCTGTAGCGGCGATGGAGCTCCAGCCTCGAGCCCCCTCCCCGAGCACAAGCTGCACCATGTGCTTCCCACCCTCTCAGCGGGGTTCCTGGGTGGAAAAGCCCAATGCAAACTAGTTCCCCTGAGGGACAGAGAGTGCAGCCTGAAAGCCACTCGTCTCCAGTCCCCTCCGGAGTAATCTGCTTGTGGTCGGTTCCCAATTTCCTTTTTGGCCGCAGGGCAACCGAAATGATTGAGGGAATGGAGGGACTGGATGACGAGGAGCCACTAAGTAAATTGGGCACATTTCACGCTGGAAAAGAGAGGATTGAGAGGCGACATGATCGCTGTTTTTAAGGTTCTGAAGGGGCTCGACGATTTAGATCGTGACGAGCTGTTTCAACTTGTCCTGAAAGGGGGTAAATTCAGAATGAATCTACGCAAACGCTATTTCAGTGAGCGAACAGTGAACCTGTGGAAGACGGTTGAAGCAGGAAGTGCTGATTCTTTCAAACACAGATTAGATAGTTTTCTTATAGGAAATAACATTATGGGATCGAGAACATAGGGAGTTTGGGACATACGTGCATGCGACGGCCAGGAAGGTGGAAGGCGAACTAGATGGACCTCGGACTTTTTTCGTCTAGCGATTTTTATGTTCTTATGTTCCAGGTTAACCCTCCCATAGCTGTACTTGGCTACAGCTTCAGTGTTAGACATTTCGTACTTTGCATCTCCCAACTGTTCCCTTGGATAACACAAATACTAACCTTACCTTATGAAAATACTATCATCACAGAAGCAACTTTGACTTTATTGAGGTTCCCCAACCCAACAATGACAAGCATTTTAGAATATTAGGTTCTATTTTAGGCAGATAACGGTGCGTAAAAACTGAATGCCATCCATTATTCTGTATGGAAATCGCTGGGTTTAGATAATTATCATGTCTGGTAACTCCATTGCAATCTGACCAGCATTTACAAAACTCTCTTCTGGTGCAAATTGGTGCTGCATCTTTGGGGGAATCGACTTTGCTCATCTCTTGTTGACTTCAATATTGGTTGAGTCAGAGGTAAACATTGATTTCAGCCTCTGATAGCTTTCTATGACCTTGCCCTCATAACAAAATGCTTTTAAGGACAGTACTATGTACTATCACTTCTGACAATTAGAGAGGACCCGTGGAGTCCTGTAGCTCAGTGGTTAGAGCGCTCGCTTTGCAAGTGAGAGACCTGAGTTCAATTCCAGGCAGAGGGCGAAACCTTGGGCAAGTTTCCTTACTCCACACGCCTAATAATAATCCCTCCAAAACAAAAATAATAATAAATTGGTCATTTTCAATCTACGACTGTTTGTGGGACATTGCTGTGCGCAATTGGCTGCCGCGTTCGCCCACAAATATACAGTCAATTCACTTTACAGTGTGTTCTGTGAAGCACTTTGGGACGTCCTCCCGACGTGAAAAGCGCTATATCAAATGCAAGGATTATTATTATTATTATCTCCCAATATTATGTATTTTTTCATGTGACAATTCTGCACAAAGCAATTATGCAATTGAATCTGCACATTTAAAAAGCAAACACTGAAATAAATGGATTTCTCTTTTACACTAGAAAAGAAAATAAACAGCCTTCATCCCTTAAGAAAAGATGGAAAGATACCGCAGAGACGCTGATTATTGGAGGCGGGTGTGTCGGAGTGAGTCTGGCTTATCATCTTGCCAAGGCCGGAATGAAAGATGTTGTTTTGCTGGAGAAGTCTGAGCTAACAGCTGGCTCTACGTGGCATGCAGTAAGCAAAGATTATTTGTTAATTTTCCATGAAAAATGAACTTTCAATATTTTCCCTTCTCTTTTCCCACACTTATTTCATTTTCAGGATACCAACATCAAATATATTTCTTGCAGTAATATAACACCACCAACAACAATTTGCATCATACAGCATTTTTCATGCAGGATAGCGTCTTACTCAGTAGAGTGGTTCAGTTAACATAAGTTACAAACATTCTCAATTTAGAGATGCCCCTAGTATTTATCTATAAAATGCATTTTGCTCTTCAATATAATCTGCCTCTTGCAGTACATTGCTGTATTCCCTATAGTGTTGTGAGAATGATAGCAATGGTACAGATAGGGTTCTATTTTAAAAATTCTGAGAAGCTCTAATCTGGAATGATGGCTGGGAATGCGTAAAAAATCAAAGCGGTTTTGGTAACACCATAAACCACAAGGACTGAAACTGAACGAAATCATCGGACCCTTACTTTCAAGAGAATATCACAGAAATGTGACCAATGTTTGCCCTCGACTTTAATTATCAGTACGTTTACCATTCTCTTCCCGAAACTAAACCATTGCCAGTCAGGGTCCTGGCATGGAGATCAGCAGCAATTGAGTACAAATGGTGTTGACAAAAAGAGTGCACAATCCAAACATGGGGTCAAAAACTTCCTCCCTCGTATCACAAAGATAGGAAATAGCCATTGATACAAGGGAACGTATTCTGTAGAATATTACGTAGGACATAACATTCTGCCTGGAAGGCAGTAACTTATTGAGTTGAGATCAGGTTATTGAACTTAATGGTTTATTAATGATTAATGTCAGCTGAACTCTAAGATATGCTTCAAGACACTTTAGAGTCTTAAGCTTTATAATATATGGAACCATAGTATTTTTGTACTGTTGTCTGTTAACTTTAATATGTTTGTATTTCATTTTTCTTCTGGAGGGGGTTTCATGGGGACAGCAACAGACAACAGGCTTCCACGATGGAACCACAAGCAGTGATATTGTTCCACGTGATTGACAAGCAATGATATCGGGATATTTTACTGACTGAGACAGGGGAATATCATAGCTTTTAAATATTATAAGGATATTCACTCTCTTGTATATAGTTTATTTTATTAACACAGTGTACTACTGCATAACTATGTTGTAAATGTATAGGTTCTTTAGACATTTCCCATTTATTTCTAGGCAGCTATTCTGTTATGTGCACAATGTAAGACATTATTTGTGCAGTTTTGCAATGTTTACAATCAGTGAATAGTTCTGCAGTATGTTTTTACCCCAGTTCTATCTATTATAAACACTAGTTTATTTATTGCTGAACATGTCAGTAATTGCCTTATTTTTGTAAATATTTAAAAATAAATTTAATTTTCTACTGTAATATATGTTATGTGTGCTACTCTTAATTGTACAAAACATATATATTAATTCAGGATAATTACTCTTACAATGAAAAGGAATGCACTGTATTATGATCAGGAAATGTTATTTGTTCAATTTTTTATGTACAGAGTTGCATGTGTATTCATTTATAATCTAAATTTCTATTGACATCATATGACAGAGACATAATCATTGCAAATAAAAACGGCAGCAAGGAGTGAAAAGTGCATCATTTGGTTATTTCCTCAAAAGATAACTGTTCCTCAATGCAAAAGTGTTTAGTAAAACATAATAAAAATTAAGAACTGCTGTTGCTAAAATTCAGCGATTTAAAAAAAAGAAATACTGGAAATTCACAGCATACCAATCATATTTGAAGCAAGGAAGTTAGGTTAACATTTTAGGCATGTTCCCTCATCGAAACTGACACAGGGGAAATGTGGTGTCTCTAAACAAGTCTGTAAGATGGGAAGTGAGTTCATACTTAAAACAAATGTGAAAGATGATTAATCAGGACGCAGTTTGGTGGGCCATTAACAGATTATGGAATGATATTAATGGGAGGCAGAAGGAATAAAAAGAAAAAGTATATGGGAAGCATTGAGGGGCTAAAACAAATGGAGAAACCATGAGGATAACATCGAAAAAAATGGATGAGATTAAAGCTTTCTTAAGAATGAGGTTAGGTGCTTCTAGTGCAGTTTGTGTTCATTTTGCTTGGATTGGTGAAGGAGGTCAAGCAAAGAAATCAGAGTGTGGGTGGGAGAGTTTAAATGCCGAGCCATGGGGTATTCAGGGTTATGTCAATGGACATGTTCAACAAGGATCTCACTGACATGGAGGAGATTCCACTTGTGGAGTCCTGTGCTTAGTGGTTAGAGCACTCGCCTCAGAAGGAAGAGGACCTGAGTTTGATTCCCAGTCGGGCAAAACACTGGGCAAGATCCTTAATCTACATGCCCGTTTACCTAGCAGTAAGTAGGAACCCAGTTATTAGTCGATTGGCGAACCGTTTTTTCTGGGTGTAATAATTTCTTCAAAATAAATAAAAATTATTTGGTCACTCAATCCATGCCCACAAAATATACAGTCAATTCACTTTACAGTAAGCACTTGACACTTTACTGTGACGTGCTTTGAGATGTATAGAAGATGTGATAAGGCGCTATATCAAATGCAAGGATTATTATATTGTATGTAACAAATACAAGACAAGATTGGAGGAGGTGTATCTTACATGGAAGGGTGATTGGGTCACAAGCAGTGTTATGGGAGTGTTACACCTACCTCATTTGTAGTAAAACTGCCTTGGGAAAAGGACAGCTGGTGGTGGGATGATGGAGGAGTGAAGATGGGTATCTTTAGAGGTGAGTCTGTGCTGGAATCATGCTGTCGATAATAAAAGGCTATCTGATGAATTGTAAGCTGGTGAAATGAAAGGTGAGGAAAGAGTGACTATCATTGTTGCGTGAGTAGAAAGCAGTGAAGGTGGAGACGCAGGAAATACGTTGGGCCTTATTAGGACCTTCTTGTTCACAAATGAGAATAAATGCCCTCTTTGGTAGAAAACCTTTTCAAAAGTACTGGTACAAAAAATTGAGTCATAAGAGTGCATGCAGCATAAATGAAGAAACTAAGAAAAAGGAATGGAGTCTTTGTAGTAGAAAGAATAATATTCCAAGTACAGCATTAATAGGAATCTGTGAGATTATAATAGATGTGATAGATATCTCTTTTCCGGCTTTGCATGTACATTGACTTTAATATCCTCAAATGTTAGGTAATGCCTCCATTTCCCTACTTCACTGCTTTGCTTCACGTCTAATAATAATCCCTCCAAAAAAACAAAACGATAATAAATTGGTCATTTTCAATCCACGACTGTTTGTGGGACATTGCTGTGCGTAATCGGCTGCCGTGTTCGCCCACAAATATGCAGTCAATTCACTTTACAGTATATTCTTTGAAGCGCTTTGGGACGTCTAGAAGACGTGAAAAGCGCTATATCAAATGCAAGGATTATTATTATTATTATTGCTTTGTTATCCCTTGTTTGAATTAACATTCCATAATCTTTTGTTCTTCCTGTCTCCCAATCTTATAAGGACAACCCCCCAGCCCACCAATCACTTCTAAATAAGCGTCGTGCCCAAAACACTAACAATTTGATTGCTGATTGATTTCCTCATTACTCCAAAACTCAGCAATGTATAGAGAATTAAAACAGGAAAATGTTTTCAGAAAAATTCCTGATAGCCTTCGTTTTTCACAAAGAGATGATCACAACACAAATGATGCCTACATCTTATGATGGTTCCTCATCAGCATCCGTCTATTTCAGTGAAATCTAATGTATCTAGAATACATTAGGTCTATGCAGGAACACCCCTCAGGGCACAGAAAAGGAAATGGTGGGGTGTGTAATCACGCTAAAATCCAGTTGCTGCGAGATGCTAATACTGCAGCAGAAAATTAGCACTATTGTTAAATTAGCACGTCCTTTCCATGAAATGGCAGGGAGACATTTGGTGGCATAACATAGTGGGAAGCCAGTGCAATTTAAATATTGTTTCAGACCCATAATTCTGCAAATATATATGTTCCCAATTCAGCAGAGGTTTAGAATGGACATTCCTTCTCACAGAAAAGCAGCGATGGGAATGATGAGTGTTATAATTACTTCAGGCCAATATAGAATCATAGAATCGTACAGCACAAAAAGAGGCCATTTGGTCCATCGAGTCTGTGCCGGCTCTTTGAAAGAGCAATGTAATGTCAATCCCACTCCCCAGCCCTTTCCCCATAACCTGCAAATCCGTCCTCCACAAATACCTGTCCACCGCGTTTTTAAAAGTAGTTATCGAATCGGCCTCGACCACCCTTTCAGGCAATGCGTTCCAGATTCAAACAACTCGCTGCGTGAAAAACTTTCTTCTCACCTCCCCTCTGCTTCTTTTAGAGACTATTTTAAATCTGTGACCTCGAGTCACCGACACACCCACCAGTGGAAACAGTTTTTCCCTTTCTAACCTATTAAATCCCCTCATGATTTTGAAGACCTCTATTAGGTCTCCTCTTAACCTTCTCTGCTCCAATGAGAATAATCCCAGCCTCTCCAGCCTTTCCTCATAATCAAGGTCCCTCATTCCTGGTACCATCCTCGTAAATCTCCTCTGCATCCTTTCCAATGCCTTAACATCCTTCCTATAGTGTGGTGCCCAGAACTGTAACTCTTAGACTGAAGTTTTGTTGGGTGGTTGGGACAGCTCATCCAGATTGATTATTTAGGGAAACTTAGAAGAGAGAAAAAAATAAGAACATTGATAGATAAATAAATAAACATGGTAAGATTTGGTCATTATCGAACAATGCTGGATGTCTAGGCTTAGGTAGTTATTAGAACTTGGATTTTAAAACTCAGTGGGTCTAATCAAACCTTCTGTTGTTTACAAAGAGTCTATTGCATTCAAGGAATCAAACTATATTTTACATGTTTTATCTGTATTCTATTTCAGTGAAATCTAATGGCAGAAAGCAATACTGATTTAATACCAAGCCTTGCTTTCATTAAATATCAGGTTCAACTGGAAACCTGACTCAGTTAGTAATGCTCTTGCCTCCGAGTCAAAAGGTTGTGGGTTCAAAACCCCATGGTCTTTGAGCACATAGTCTCAGCTGACATTACAGTGCAATGCTGTGGAAGGGCTGCAGTGTTAGAAGTGCCTTTGGATGACATTTTAAATCAAGCTCCCAAATGCCTGTTCAGGTTAATGATCTCATGGTACAATTCAAAAAGATGAGTTTCTCCATTGGCTTGTCAAAGATTCCCAAGATAGAATTGGGGAACACTGAAAATTTAATAAAGTATAAGTATAGGTAACAGGATGAGCTGTTGATCTCAGGTATTAATTTAAAATGAAAAGGTCTCAAATGTAACTAGAGATTAGAAGAATGTTTCTTTGCTACAGAAAGTGTATACAAAACAGATTTCCCCAACATGCTGTTAGTACATTAGGCAATTCCTTTAAAAAGAAACTGGATAAGTAGCTGCACATAAACAGCATTGAAGGATATAAGGGATAGGTACAGACTAAGATGAACAATTTCTCCACTGAAGTCAATGTTTTCTATGTTACAGGTTTAGAAAAATGCTGTGCATTGAAAGAATGAGGTCGGTCTGGTTTGAATTGTGAGAATGACCTCTGTTCCAAGATTAGTGGAATAGAGCAATGTTTGTGGATAATAGAAAATCCCTTTCTGAGTACTTGTCAAAATATGCTAAAAGTACCAGCACATGAAGCATCACTCATTGATTTGGGGGCTTAGGGTCTTCCCCTGGGAATAAAAGTTGGTGCATTGTACCCCACCAACTATATGAATTGTGGAGTAAGAGTGATCGATGAATAGGCTTTTATCATTCTATGCTTTCTCGTGAAATTAGACATGTATGATCATAAAGATTAGTTATGCTGTAATGTTTTACTGTGCCCTAACATGACTTTTGATCAGATCAAATTTGTTGAGTAAATATAGTAAAATCTATAAATTGCTCAGGTTTTAGCTGCATATTTTGTTTTGTCAGTGTGAATGCACAATTTAAATGGCACTAAATATTCTGTCAGATGAAAATCATTTATCATGATTACCACTTTTGGTATGAAATGAGACCCATAACAAAATACGACCCCTGATTAAAGTTTTGTAAATGTTCTGATCTGTCACTTGTGCTTATGTGGGTCCTGAATCCATATATTTTATCTTCCTACAGGCTGGATTAACAACGTATTTTCACCCTGGAATCAATTTGAAGAAAATTCATGACTACAGCATCAAACTGTACGAAAAATTGGAGGAAGAGACTGGACAGGCAAGTGCTTCCATCAACCTTTAACTATGCCAGCCATTGTAATGTGTATGTAATGTTTGTGCTGCACATTGATGATTCAAACTTCCCTCGGGCAGTTATCAGAAAAGGAGAACACCCTTAGATAGCCTCAATGAAGAAAATAAAGGTTATGTTGGTTAGAATGCCAACTGTGATCACACTCATTGTGATTAATTTGTCATACTTTTAGAGAAAACATTTTAAGCCGTTGTACGTGGAACCAGAATAACACAGACTGGGCACTTTGGCTTAGTTCTGAAATAGAGGTTTATTTATACAGGTTCCAGCATTTCTGGCGTACACAACACATGTCTACTTCTACCAGACCACAAAACCGCCCCAATCTCACTCAAAAAGGTCACCCCCGGCCCATCACCCCAACCAACCAACAGCTTGGAATGCAACGTGTAGTAACGGGGCAGAGCTTGGCGGGTGAGGGCGAGGCGCAGAAGCCGGGCAGAAGATGCAAGACGTTGAAGTTGGCAATGGAATTGGAGTTGGAGTTGGAGGAGGAGGAGGAGATGGTGGGGAGGCAGCGGGTGGCCAGAGGCATTGGGGTGGATCATGTCAATTCAGAGCTTATCTGACCCTGGTGGGGGGGGAGAAAGAGGTTCAGCCAGTGTTCAATATCCTCAGGTCCTTGGTTGTCTCTCTCTCTCTGGTCCTTGTCCCTCTCCCAGTGCAGGGCCGGACCGGGTGGGATGGGGGGTGGGGTCAGGAGGCTGAGATGCTCGAGCTGTGGGGAGGCGCCGTCATGGGCGGCAGAAAGAGAGACCTGAGCTTCCCGGACATGGCGGCGATCTCGGGGTCCTGGGTCTCGTAGGCCTTGATGATGCGGGCGAACCTGAGCACGCCCTCGCCGTCGCTGCTGAAGCCGTACGCCTTGATGACCTCCTGCTGGATCTGGGTGGCCACGGGCAGCACGAACTGCAGCATCTTCCCCATGTCGTTACACGCGTTGTCCCGCGCCTCCTCCAGCCGCGCCGCGTTCTCCGGGCAGCCGAAGGCCTTGATCACCTCGGCCAACACCACCCGCGTCTGCTCGGGGCTCAGGCCCGGCGGCTGCTGCTGCTGTTGTTGTTGCTGCTGCTGCTGTTGTTGAGCCGCCGCCATTTTGCCGCCTCGGCCCCCAGAGGATTACAAGGCGTCCTCCTGTAGCCCAAACGCCACCAACCGCTGAGCCCAAAGATAGCCCCAACCCATCAGCCCGGCAGCATTTCTGGGGTTTTTGTTTGAAACTGCGTAAGAAACTCGAAAATTGTTCGACGACAAAAACACGCCCAATTGGGCGTGAACCCGCCCCCAATCTGCCCACAACGCCCAGATATAGCGGGAACCTCCACACACAGCGCCCCCCCGCGGTCACTATCGCTCTCACACAGCGCCCCCGCGCGGTCACAATCTCTCGCACACGCAGCGCCCCCCGGGTTCACTGTTTCACACACACACACACACACACACACACTTCCAAAAGCGCAGTACCCTATATATTTGCATAACCTTCTTCACTTGAGATGGTGTCTCAGAGCACTGACAGCGGTTGTGTTTAGACGCGGAGTGAGGGAGAGGGATTGAGGCGAGGAATTCCAGAGGTTGGCATCGTGGCTGAAGGCACGGTCACCGATGATGCAGCGCAGGGGGCGTGGAGGATAGGGGGCTTGTGGTAGCTGCGCGTAGGGGGCGGATTAGAGGAGGGGGGCATGAGAGGAAGGAAGATGGTTGAGCTTGAGGTCAGGGATTTTGAAATTGATCCTTTCGGAAATTAAGAGCCAGTGAAGTCTGGTGAGGATAGGGAAATAACGGGCGTACAGAGTTTGGTACGAGAGAGGATACGGGTGGCTTAGTTTTGGATGAGTTGGACCTTGTGGTTGGTGGAACTGGGGAGAGCAATGAGGAGTGCGTTTGAGAAATGAAGACCGGAAGCGGGGTCTCCTTGGAGCTGAACTGGCTCCAAGGTGACAAGCCCGGCAACGAATGTCAGAATTGAGCCTTCTGTGGTGATCTCGATAGTCCGGTTCTTGAGCCAGGTGGGTCTTCAGTATTCCAGGGCACTGCTGATGACAGCATCGCTCATTGGCAGGACCTGGAAGGGCAGACTCACTGTGGCAGGGAGTCAACCCACTGAGCTCCTGTTTACCCTACAAGCCAAAGCCCTAAAGGGGAAGCGGTCCTAACTGGACAAGCAGCTTGCCACACCGTGGCATCACTGGAAAGCTATGCGGTTTTAGCTGGTTGGACTCCAGCAGTCCCTCAACGATTTCCATGTGTAGGTGGGATGCATGGAAATCTCAGCTTGGTTTGGATATTGTTAAGCACAGTGATGGTTTTCTGCATGTGTCAGACACCCGGCTGACCAAAAAAAATAGAATGTGAGAAAGGTGTGGATGAGATTTTCAGCAGCATTTTGTGTGAGATAACAATAATAATCCTTGCATTTGATATAGTGCTTTTCATGTCTTCTGGACGTCTCAAAGCGCTTCACAGAATATACTGTAAATTGAATTGACTGTTTATTTGTGGGCGAAATGTGGCAGCCAATTGCACACAGCAGTGTCCCACAAACAGTGGTGGATTGAAGTGACCAATTTATTATTGTTTTTTTTTGAGGGATTATTATCAGGCGTGTGGAATAAGGAAACTTGCCCAAGGTTTCACCCTACCGGGAATCGAACCCAGATCTCTCGTTTGCAAAGCGAGTGCTCTAACCACTGAGCTACAGGCTACAGGATAGGATCAGAGGTGATAACTATTAGCATGAGAATAGTATTGAAGGTTATAGGGATGTAAATATGGAATGAACAAATATTCCAATTGAAAAACATTTTCAGGAAAAGCTTCTTGAAATACGAAGAATAGCGGCAGGAATGTGAAGTGTATTTCCCGCAGGGAGTCCTATATGCATCATACTAACATGTAAGAACATGGCTATTCCCTCCCATAAAAATCATTTAGTTTCTTCCAATTCCACGTAAATCCTTAATGATAGAGCGGAACTGCCCTGTTTAAATCGGAAGAACTCTGTACAGTAACTTCATGATGGTCCTGTGCATTTTTGCACAACGTGGCATTGAATCACCATGGAAACTGATCATTTACAATGCATTATCACTGAATTGAAACTGACCCTGGAAATGGGTTCCCTTACGTCTCTTTGCCAGGATCAATTCAGATCACAAGATTGACAATGTTTATATTGCACTTTGAATGTTGGATTAGTGATCAGTCGCAACCTTTAATAGTGTAATAGTAAACCTACTGCGGAGACCCTGTGTGATGAAACAACATTCACCACTCTATGAATTTTGTGGGAACTTTTGCTTTTAATAACAAATGTTAACATTGGCGGTGTATATGAAATGCAACATGTATGATTTGTATTAAAGAAAATACATGCAGTATTTGCAACCCCAAATCCCCCAAATATTTCATGAAATATAAAGTTAAAAATAGTTTCAGACCACAACTTTTAATCCGCAGCACTGTGCAGAAGATTGTCTGAAAAAAGGAAAAAGACAGGAGAGTTAAACAGAAAAATTCTTAAGTGGTTCCCAAAAACCTTAGCAAAAGGGAAGAATTCATCATCATAATAATAATCCTTGTATTTGATATAGTGCTTTATCACGTCTTTGAGACGTCTCAAAGCGCTTCATAGAATATACTGTAAAGTGAATTGACTGTATTCATCTACTGAGTAGAATTCAACTACTGAGGCACTTTCTAACTTTGTGGTTGTTTCAACAGGCAGTCAGCTTTCATCAGCCTGGCAGTATCCGCATTGCTTGTACTCCGACCCGAGTGGATGAATTTCATTATCAGATGACAAGGGCAAACTGGAACGTGACACAGCAGTTTATCATTGGTCCAGAGAAGGTGCAGGAACTCTTCCCTCTGATAAACATTGACAAGGTAAACTGATATTTGGTTGATTCCAACAGAACACTTTGTTGATAGTCTGTAGGATCATTTTGTGCTCTTAATTTTTCCCAGAATGTTTAGCAAAATACAAAGTTATGAGACCAGGTTGAAGATACAATCCAGTATGGAGAAAAGCACTGTTTCCAGCATGAGCCTCCCTTTCTTTAGTCTTTCAAAAATGCCCTCGTTGATAAGTTTATTTTATTTTCTCTAAAGTTTCTTAATATTTTACATAAGTTCATTTGCATGAGAAATAATGAGCACCTTCCAAACAAACCTAATCCTCCAATGATCAGATTGAGTAAAATGTGCCCTTTATTTTACATTCACATTATATAAGCATGTCCAAAATATCAGAGACAAAATCTTGGTTGAAGTAAAGCTGTCTTTTTTTTAAAAGGATACTATGGATCCTTTTTAAATGTTGACAGGTTTCTTAACCTGTGGAGTCCTGTAGCTCAGTGGTTAGAGCACTCGCTTTGCAAGCGAGACACCTGGGTTCAATTCCAGGTAGGGTGAAACCTTGGGCAAGTTTCCTTACTCCACACGCCTGATAATAATCTCTCCAAAAACAAAACAATAATAAATTGGTCATTTTTAATCCACGACTGTTTGTGGGGCACTGTCGTGCGCAATTGGCTGCCATGTTTCGCCCACGAATAAATGGTTTGCCACTTTACAGTATATTCAGTGAAGCGCTTTGAGATGTCTAGAAGACGTGAAAAGTGCTATATCAAATGCAAGGATTATTATTATTGTATTATTAATTAATTTGACAAATGTTGATGACGCCAGTTATTGCTTTTCTATTCCATTTCTTAAGAAACTATTTGGAACATTTGTATGCAATCTGGATATAAAATGCCCTTCATTTCTCGTGAGCTACCTTTAATCATTGCTATTTGCAAGATTAATATAATTTTGTTGCCAAATATGTGGCATTACGGGATTACGGGAACTCCCTCCTCATCGACCTTCCCATCTCTTCCCTTCACAAGCTGCAGATCATCCAAAACTCTGCAGTTTGTGTACTCTCACGCACCAGGCTCCGTGACCCCATCACTCCCACCCTCGCCCGACTCCACTGGCTTGACTGAACCCTGAAAATGAGAGCTTGCTCACCACTTCAGGTTCCTATTCAGCAGGTCAGTTGTATTTTGATCTGTGTCCCTCTTGTGTTTTTTTTAGGTGCTGGCTGGTTTGCATAACCCTGGAGATGGCCACATTGATCCATATTCTCTCACCATGGCGTTGGCGGCTGGAGCGAGACACTATGGGGCGGAACTATATTATCCTGCACCAGTCACAGACCTGACACCGAGATCTGATGGGACATGGGATGTGGAAACATCAAATGGGGTTATCCGTGCCAACAGAATTGTGAACTGTGCAGGTATGACTCTCTCCATTTAAAAAGGTGTGCAATCCACAAGATCTATGGGGGAAAAGTTCCATCTGGGGATGGAGTCTTAAAATGCAAGATTTGCTGAATTTATGCAGCGTTTTAGAATTTGGCAAATTCTTAAATACAGTCTCAATTTTAAAACTAGTTTTCTGGAAGTTATGAACTGGCTTCAAAATTAAGATTGAATTCAACCATTTGCCCAAAATCTAAGTGCTCTGAATTGTTACATAAATGGAATAAATCTAACCCAGGTGGAATTTTTTGCCCCCTGCTGATTCAGTTATGCAGAGCGCTCCTGCTTAGCATCATTGACGTGTGGGGCATTGCATGTAGAGTACTCTGGGCTCCATTTTACATACAAGGACTGCCCTCTGCTTTATCTAACCACTGCAGAGAAGTGGTTAGAACTCGCAGGTGTTGATTCCTCATAGAACTAAATATGTTGGTGAGTATTTTCCTCTTACTGACAAGACAGTAACTTATTTTCTCTTGGCTCCTAAAACAATGAGGGAGCACCAGCACTGTAAGGACTATAGAGGTTTAAAGAGAAGCCTAGACCACTACCTTCTCAGGGCAACCAGGAATGGGGAATAATTGCCGGCCAAGATAAAGTTGCAGGAATAAAACAAAATCAACATTATAAACTTTTCAATTGGCTTACTCCTCAGGTTAGGGAGGGGGAATCCAGCCATGGTCCCTGTTTCCATAAACCCTGTCAGAGTAGCTTGTGCATGAACTTCATGTGAGGACACAGTTAGGCTCACCTCCGATGCCTCCAGAAGTTCAGTGTCAAGGCACGAAAATTGAAAATGCAGGAATGGTCACTGAGGTACTGCAGGTCAAATGTCACCCTTGGAACTTTACTTTCCAATTGAAGGGGAAAAAAGTCAAACACCTTCAAGAGAGGAATGAGAGGGGGAGGATGAAAGGCAAAGGAAAAAATTGAACAACACAAATAAAATGTGACAAAACAAAGGCACTTTGACGTTGATGAAGGACTCTGCGTCTGATTCTCTCGTTTATGCAGTTACAGTACAGCAACTGTAGCAGCATTGCCGTGGTATCAGCCTGTGATGAACGATGACCTTTTCCATCAAATAGAAAATTATTGCTAATGTCTGAACTACCAAATGCAAGGATTGTTATTTATTGTCACATCTGCAGGAATATATGAATCTGTAGTTTATTGATTGCTCAGAGTGAAACTAAATACCCGTATGCCCAGCAATGCATGGAAGTGGTTGGCAAAATTTGCATGAAGAAAGCCTTAATCGGCTACCAGTTGGTGCGAAGAGTCACAACTGGTGTCAGTGCCAGAGTGTGGCTTTACTGGTGGTCAGTTATTTTGAGGAATGCAATTAAGGCTTGTGATTATTATGGATATGTCATCTGTAGTAGCAAAAATGATTTGCCGCATTTTAGGAAGCAAGGAGTGATTTTCCTGATTGGGAGAAAATTCCTTCGGCAATAAATGATTTCCTATTAAACTCTTGGAGAGTGAATATCAGTTGTTAACCCTTCACTATGGACCAGATAACATGTCAATGACACAGAACACACTGACAACTGACCTCAAAACAACACACTCGAAACTGAATAAGTCCACCCTATGACGTTCACAGTCTATTATTAATAAATAAAGATAATAAAAAAAGGACTCAACAGCAGTGTCAAGGCTGTAAACTCACCCTGGTATTCTGATAACATGTGGCTTTTTGTGTAAATGCTACAAACAGGTTACAGCCAGATTCAACTGGAACAAGAGCAGATCGCCTGAACCTGACCTGAAAGTCTTGTGTTCCTTTCAACCCGTAGATCAATGACAGCATGCAAGGCATCATTACAGTATTCTGTGTAACATAACAAGGAATAGGCAGAATAGATGGCCGAGCTGTGCAGAAACAGGGTTGCTTTTTCAAGGAGCAATATATTTTGAAACATTCAAGCTGTGGTGGGATTTTATTATTTTTGACCAGGGCATTTGGAGCAAATTAGATAGAATTCTGCTAGAAAATAATAACTTGGCGAACTTCGCGATGGCGAAAGCGAACTAGATGGACCTTGGTTCCAGCTGAACTTGTTCTCACTGTCGTTGGATGACATGGGACTTATTGAATCAGCAAGAACATTCACTTAACTGGATGTCTAAGGGGGACTCAATCAATGTTATTTCAGCTGTACATTGCATCTTTATTCCCATATTGTAGTTCAAGTCAGCTTCATTTTTAGTACTTCTTATCAGGAGTGCTTATTTATTCAATTATGCAGAAGCACATTGACTGGGAAAACACAACTACTTCCAATTGGAATCAGTGATTACTTGGAAAAAAGCCTTTTGATGTTTCCTGAGGTGAACAATTTATAACATGGGATTATCTTATAAATGTGGAATTGTTTTTCTTATATCCGTACTTCATAAGCGCTCGGCTGACATTCATTTTCCCACACAGCAGTCTAACTGTTGGACCCCAAAGCAAATTTACAACAACTCACGCAATGTATCTCCTCAATGTGCCATCCTTCCTGATTTGCATTGAGCATGGCTTCACTTTAGTGAATGGCACGTCTCCACTGTATGGATTGATCACACCTCGATTACTGACTGGTGAACTTTTCATTATGTGCTTATAATTAGCTTTTTCCATCAGAGACCATTATCTGGGAAACACTCTTGCAAGTGCCTTGTCAATAACAGTAACAATGGTCTTGTTCCTTCTCAAGCACTGCTCTCTATTCTGTGCTGCCCTATCTATGCTGAAACATCTCCAGGACACGAGAATTATTCGTAGTTCTTCAACCTACTTATTGACATTTAGATCTGCATTTCAATCATACATGTTTTTATACAGAAAAATCTTTGATAAGGATAAAGGGACTTTCTATTCACTCGTCAACTGATCATAACATGCTTATGAGTTGTATAGACAGTTTATTTCCTGAAATAGCCTGGAGGGTGGCTCTTGCTCTACGTACTCTGTGTGTTATAATAGTAATAATAATAATCCTTGCAATTGCTATAGCGCCTTATCAGGTCTTTGAGACGTCTCTCAAAACGCTTCACAGAATATACTGTAAAGTGAATTGACGCTATATTTTGTGGGCGAAACTCGGCAGCCAATTGTCCACAGCAGTGTCCCACAAATAGTCATGAATTGAGTGACCAATTTATTATTTTTTGAATTAATAATTACGTGGAGTCCTGTGGCTCAGTGGTTAGAGCACTCACCTCGCGAGCGAGAGACCTGGGTTTGATTCCCGACAGGATGAAACCTTCGGCAAGTTTCCTTACTACACGAGTTCCAAGTCATCGGGTCTCCAATGCAATGCTGGGGAAGTGCTGCATTGTTAGAGGTGCTGTCTTTAAATGAAATGTTAAACCAAAGCTTTTTCTGCCTGTTCAGCTGAATGTTAAAGATCCCATTGTGTTCACACAAAAAACAGTCAGTCCACTTTATAGTAAATCCTTTGAAGCACTTAGAGACATCCTCCTGACCTGAAAGGCGCTATACCAAATGTAAGACTATTGTTATTTTGTATTATTCTAATGGGAATTGGGAAAATAATGGTTGTTCTGCTTCAACAGATTGCTCATCATATCCCAAATATTACAGATAATACTTGTTTATTGCAATTGGGCAGGGGCGGGGCGGGGGAGGAATGTCAGGTGATGTGTTTTCCGGTGTGAATTGGAAGGTCACTGTGCCAGATTTCATACCTTCATGTGTATGAAATGTGTATGATCTTCAAAACAAGATTAGTTTTTTGTTATTTGAAGGAGGCAATCAATGTACCTATAGCTGTGGATGAAAAACTTCTCTAGTATCATGTGAAACTCTGAAAGTAAACAAGATCATGCTGTCCACAGATTATGATCTGTGAGGGAGGGTAGATGCTTTGAGTGTGAGTGGGTCAGGGTAGTTTCTGATTTAAGCCACAGCGGGGGTTTCAGCTACTTTGAGGGTAAATAAAGTCCACCTGACAGATGTAACGTTTTCAGTTCTCATCAGATTGGAGTTTGGTGGAATGTTGAACAGAACAGATTAGTCTTAAATTATCTGATGGAACCAAACAGTGACGGTAACAGGGGTGACATTATCAGAGCTGTAAACCACCTACTTATATAGCGTTGTTCACGCTGGAAGAGATGGGTGAATGGCACTATATAAATGCAAGTCGTTGTTGTACTTTCAGATTTACTCTGCACATCTGATAATACTCCCTCAAGAAAAAAAATAATAAATTGGTCACGTCAATCCACGACTGTTTGTGGGGCACTGCTGTGCGCAATTGGCTGCTGCGTTTTGCCCACGAATAATAGTCACTTCTCTTTGACCGTGCCTTCAGCTCCCCTCTCGACTCTCTTCCCCCTCCTCGCTCCCTCCCTTCCCTCCCCTCACCCTGACCATTTCCCCCCTCCTTGCTCCCTCCCTTCCCTCCCTCACCCTGACCATTTCCCCCCTGCTCGGGTCATGACCCAACTGTGCAGCGCCTTGGGACGTCCTCCTGACGTGAAAGGCACTTTATAAATGGAATCTTGTTGTTGTTGTTGTTTACAGTATATTCTGTGAAGTGCTTTGAGATGTCTAGAAGACATAAAAGCGCTATATCAAATGCAAGGATTATTATTAGTATCTTTAAAAGCATTATATAAGTAAAAGAATGGAGAGAATATTTCATTGCCATAGCCAGTAATGTTCGGTTTACCTTCCAAATATGACCTGACCTATGTTTGACTCTGAACCCAAGTCAAGTCATACCGACTGCTCGCATTTGACTTCGCATTTGGATTGAAAACAACAATGCCATTAACTTCTGTCCAACCTGTGCAAACAACAGATCATTTCCTGACAGATTGAGCAGAGTCCAACACTCGTCCACATCTCTTTCACATGAACATGCCAGAGATTGATACATCAACAGGTAGCAAATACTATGCGCAGGAAATTACATTAGCGTTGATTCCTACTCATAGATCACATGCACAGTGT